TGGCTATTGTCACTAAGTCGCAAGGGCCAGGTGCTCGTGGATCACTATGTTAATAAATATTTGGTAAAATGTATTGATGCACTTGTTTGTATAAATAAAAGGAGTTCAGTTACTTTTAAATAAATATTAAAAAAATTTTATTTTAATGAAATCAACATAATTTTATTTTAAATTAATTAAATTTAGTATGATTATTGAATATTAAGATATTAATAAAAAAAAATATTTGTTAAAGTGCTTTGATTTTTCAAATCAAAATTTCAGGCGACAACCAAACGTGAGGGATATCATATCACGATACCAAAGCCAAAGTTCTTCGCTTTGGAGTTTGAACCGTTCAGGATCCGGCCGGGTCCATGACAGAGAGTCAGGTTCAAACCCTGACTTTGTGTTGAAAGCCAGGAGAATGCATTCCCCTGTCGTGGCCGGTGGTAGCCACTGCTGATTAAAAGGATACTCGATTAAATGTACTTTTGATTTCATATTCAATTCCTCTCATTAATTTATTAATCTAATAATTTTTTTGGTTGAAAAAAAAAAGAAAAAACAAAAACAAAAAGCCAGGAGAATATTCGTGGGTGGTTACGTCGTTTCACACTATAAAGCTAAGGAAAACCATCTAACTTGGTCCTTAATCTTCTATTCACTTCTCAACTAAACCCTCTAAGAATCGATGTTTCCAATTTTCACTCTTACTTTTTCAAAATGTATTAGAAAGAATGTTTGGATTGAAAGTAATGAGGAAAGGGGCAGGAAATCAAGGAAAATAAGGAACCATTTGTTCATTTAGAGATAAGAAGGAAATTAATGTAGGGATTGCAAGCATCCATCCAATTCTTTTCTTTTTTAAAAGTTGTAATTTTTTTAAATCGTGAGAATATCAATGAAAAGCATGTTTTCTTCTTTTCCTTTATTTTCTTTTTATCATTTATAATTCAAAAAATAAGTAAAACTATCCAAACTAGACAATGAAGATCATATTACCATTTTTTTAAACACGTTTGATTGTAGGTTATATAATAGATAATAGCTTTTCCTTTCTCAATTATCTCAAAATTCAAATTTAAAATTTTATACTTCTAAGCATTGAGATATCATATTATCATATGGCTCA